GTAAATGATGGTGCAGAGTCCCCATACACAGAATCCAACTCATCTTTGATTTGCGTAGGCGTATTGCCTTTCAAAAACAAATATTTAATGACAGCTCGATACTCGATTTTGTCCATTTTCACAAAAACACTCACATCAACTTACTCAAACGACTGTTACATAACAACTGCGAGTCCAAAATGGCTGAAACTTCGGTGAGTAACTGTCAACAGATGAACAACGAAATTCACTAGCTTTTATTTACAAGTGCTGCTATCTTCACGTTGAGGTCGGAAACTTTTCAGACCACCCTCGTAGACACATAATTTACATTGTTTACAATAAAATATATTTTTAGTACATTTGAAAATATTATTGGTGTTGATGATAAATAGTAAGAAAATAATTGTATTTACATCGTATCACCTCGAATGTTCAAATGTATACTTTTATCGCTTGTAAATAAATCAGGATAGTTATATATTTTCGTTATCATACTTTTAACCTGCCTATAAAAGCAAACATTGCACGGCAGGTAGATTGCTATATATTTGAGCGATATTATTTGCAAGTTATATGTTGACTTATATTTTGCGAGTTGACTTATATTTTGTATATGGTTTATTGTTGCCTCATCTAATTATCCTTAATTAATGCTATTCCCTAATTATCCATAATTAATAGCATAAAAACGAAAGATATGATAAATATTGATAAAAAGAGAGTCAGCTCCAATGACCTTGACATATGTTGTAGAGATCATCATCCTTAGTAACATAAAAAATGTTTCAACCGTCAGACGTTATTTGTTAAAAAGTTATTAGCAAAAAAAGTTGCAAAAAATGAATATAATTTTTCGACACCATATATAGGATGTCTGACTCATATCACACCAGAGCTAACATATAGCTAGAATAGGTCGGGGTAAGTAATAGAATCGGTGTTTTTTTTTTAAACAGCCACGTAAAATTTTGAGATATTAACGATAAAAGATTTCTATTGAGCGGCAACCCACTGACCAATCAGCACGTATGCTGCGGTGAGACGAACGCTGTACGCGCTGTAGCATCGGCATGATAAGCTAGCCGGGCCAGCCTCCTGGCAACGCGTTTTCCTCGTTGTTAGGAGACTGGCTCGGCTAGGCTATCATGTCGATGCTATAACGCGTACAGCGTTCGTCTCACCGCAGCACATGTGCTGATTGTCCAGTGAGCTGCCGCTCGGTAGAAATCTTTTATCGTTAATATCAAAATCTTACGTGGTTTAAAAAAAGACACCGATTCTATTACTCACCCCGATCTATTCTAGCTATATGTTAGCATTGATACGGTACGAGTCAGACACCCTGTACACAAAAACATTAAGTTTATAGACTAGAAAGGTGCCTGC